AACTAGCCCTGCATGGCTGCAAGCATAAAGCACACCCACAAAAGTAACCCCATTAGGCTCAATATTTTCATGTTTCATTTGATTGAAGTAGCTTAGTGCATTACTGGCATCTCCATGCACTGCAAAGGCGTTGATCATACTAGTCCAGGATATCACATTTCTACTCTGCATCTTGTCAAAAACTTCCCTTGCCCTTTCCAGACTCCCACATTTTGCATACATATCAATAAGAGCATTGTTGACACGCAAATATCCTCCAAACCTATTTCTATCAACATATAAATGGATCCATTTGGCTTGATCCAATGCACCAAGATGAGCACAAGCTGATATGACACTAAGCATGGTGACCTGATCTGGTTTCATTCCCACGACTTGCATTTCTTTAAATAACTTAAGTGCTTCCAGAGGTTGATCACTCTCAGCATAACCAGAGATCATTGCACTCCAGAAGACCAAGTCCCTTTCAACCATTTGGTCAAAAATCATGCGAGCATCTTTAATCCGTCCAATTCTTGAATACCCAGAGACCATAGCAGTTGCGACAACCAAATTCTTTGGCCACATCTTATCAAACAATTCGTTAGCTATATCCATGCAACCACAACTTGCATACATAGTAACAAGCGCACTCTGCAAATGGGTATCAACAACAACATTATTCTCAATAATTAGTTCATGAATCACTTCCCCATAACTTAAATTTCCAGCACGACCACAAGCAGATAAAATTGTTGAAAGAATCATCTCATCTGGCTCCACATTAGACCGCTTCATCTCTTCAAAAAGCTCCAAGGCGTCATCAAATAGCCCACTCTGACAATACCTATTTTCAACATTCATTCAAAACAACATTCAAAACACGAACACAAAACACAAACACAGCCACAAATCAACAACATCATACCCATCAATCATGATACTCCACGTAACAACATCTCTATAAGACATTTTATCAAACAACATTCGTGCATCTGAAATCCGGCCACACGCAGCATACATCCCCAAAAGACCCGTCTGCACAAACGGGTCAGAATCAAACCCCAACTTCGCTCCTAGGCCATGAACCTGCATCCCCTCGAACAAACCCTCCATCCGAGCCGCAGCCTTTATTATAGGAGGAAAGCTGAACCTGTCAACATTGAGTCCAGTTATCAGCATTTTGACAAACACCAAGAAGGCGTTTTCGGGGCAGTTGCTACGCGATAATTTGCGAAGAAACTTATTGGAAAAATGAGGTGGGGGAGACGGGAGTTGGGAAAAAACGGAGAGGGCATAGTGAATAGATGAATAATTGGTGGCGGGTAAAGAGAGTGAAGTGAGGAGGAGTTTGTAAAGGAGGGAGTGGTGGTGAGACTGGGGGAGTTTGAGGATTTGAGAGTGGACTTGTTTGAGGTGAGTGAGGGTGGTGCAATAGGATAGGGAGGTGAGGACGGTGGTTGAAGTGGTCGTGTGGGTTATGAGAGGGGGTCGGGTCAGAGTGGACATGGGTTGGAAATTTGGACTGCAAATACGTAGGGAAGGTTGGTAGTTACAGTTGGTTGGGACGTGTAAGTGAGAACTCTTTTAAATTTGTAAAAGTATTTAGCAAATACTAGTAGTTAGATTTAGGTTAATTGTTTTTTCTTTTTAATTTTATGTTTTAAGGATAATTCGATAATAAAAGAATAATTTTTCTTTTATAAACTTTTGAGTTTGAGTCTGTCACCATCTTAATAGGTGTGATCATTAGTATTTTTATTCGATTGATAATTCTAAAACCTTGTAAGATTAGTTGAGGTATGTGTAAATTAGTCTAGATAACTTCAACGATAAAAAAAAAATGTTTTTTTTTATTTAAGTAAAATAGATATATGTGATTTATGTAATTTTAATTTATTATGAAATTATAACTAAAAATTATTAAAACGGAGCTTATTTAATTAATTTGTAAGGTTTGAATAACACTACCTTATAAATAGAAATATAGTTGAATAATTTCCAATAAATGTTTTAAGTGATTTATTATTTTTAGATAGAATAATTATAAATATTATTTTTTTAACCACAATATCACGAAATTTATCATGATCATAAGTAGTCATAAAAATACTGAAATTTTTTCCTCTAATAATCTACCATTAAAATAAATCATTTATTGTTAATTTTGATTGATTTATATTTATTTCTAATTTGATAATTTAAATAGAAAATTATGAAAGAAAAAGAATAAATTTTTTTATTACTATTATGTCTTCATTTAAAATTAAAGGCCGACGAAAAAAAAAAAAAAAATCACTTCCCAAAAAGTCATCAAATTAATAATACTTGGGCCCAAATAATAACTGAGTGGGTAGCCCAGGAGCAATGGGCCCTGAAAGGCTGAAACAGTGATGCTTACTTTGGGGTGGTAGACTGGAAACTAGAAACCAACACTCGTGATTCGTGAAAACAGCATTTCACTGCATCTACCAGCTTCAAAGGATATTTAACATTTTACAGAAACAGTTGCGGTGAGGATTAATGGGTGAAGTTTTGTTTGACCTTGAACAAGTTCTCAGGAGCAAACAGGTTTTTGTTTCTTCATTATTTATTTTTAGGGCTTTACTTCTCAATACATGTTTGCGTTTTTAATCTGTGTAATCTTGGCAATTTTATATAAGACATTAACAATAAATTGCATAACTTCACTTTATCACCCTAATTTCTAACAATGGTAGTTTTTTAATTGGGTCCATTATAAATTATTCAAAATTCTATTCTTTTTCATGTGTTTCAATTTCTTAGGCCTTGTTTGGTTATACCTTATTTTAAGTTCTTATATTGATATGATCGAAGATTTTTTTTTTTTTTTCCCTTCTTATGGAGAAGATGATAAATTGGTTTTGGCTCCATAAGCAAGAACATTGTTTTTGAGAATTTGTGTGCTAACAAGATCAGTCTTGTAACTAGATTAGATGTTATCATTTGGGGTAAATGGTACTTTATAATTCGTTTCTTGTTTTTCGAGGAAGAAAAAAAACGTCATTTGCAATTTTTGCTACCTTGTATTCTGAAAACAAATGCTTTTCTAGGAGAGGTTGACGCCTGCAGAAGCAAAGGTTCTTCTAACATACAAGTCTAAGGCTGTTAGGGAGTTTACGGTTGGTGCACTTGTAGGATCTGGTGTTACGTGGTTAGGTATGTATAATCGTTCTTGCTTTGAAAGACCTGCTAGTGTTATATTATACATTTCATCACCAATCCAGAGGCATTTACTTACATGTGTATGCGCCGATTTGATGTCCTTATATGCACATAACTTTCCATTTTATTTTGCTAAAATTTTAGTTGGAGAAGGGTCTATAGAAGCTGCTAAGTTAGGGTGTCACATTAAGCTTTTTGTTTCACAACCTGAAAATTCTTCCCCCCGCAAAGAATTCCTCCACATTAAGCTGCTAAGTTGGTGATACATCAAACTTATGTTGTATATATTGTTTGTAATCCTAAGACAATTTTCTCCTAGCCCTAGCTTGCTACTTAGCATAGATTTGTGTCCAGTGCAGTGGATTCCTGCATTAAACCCTAAGTAGGTTTTATAAGACATTAATTTGCTATGTTGAGATTATATAATTTTTGACGGTGACAATAGTTATTCCAAAATTGCTTTAATTATTTCTAGTGATGTTCGTCTTATTATTATTATTATTTATTTTTATCATTTTTGGAGCTATTGAAAATCTAAGATTGGTAGTTATCCTTGTGGAGTTTATTTAGCGAAGCAAGTGAAAGCCACTATATCCAGTTGAAAGAAAAAGAGAAGAGAGAATAAATTGATCTGTCCAAACCATTGAATTCTTCATTAAACAGTCAAATCCAATGGTGCATGCATTTAGACTATAATTTATTGCTGGGTCCAAATCAGTTGTATGTTCAGCATATTATTCACAAGTGGCCAATGTGATAGCTGCTGGTAATTAATTCTTTCTTATATTGTTGTTATGGTGATTCTTTATCTATGGAAATTCCTAGAATCTCAATTCTCAAATCATTTCTTTCAAATGGCAATACTTTGATTGTTGGTTTCTTTTCATCTTTAACTTCCAGCAACTTTCTGATAATTTTTAAGCCTCCCTTTCAGCAACATGGAGGCTAAATAAGTTATTACGAGTCAACCTTTCAGGAGGTAAGAGATCCTTCATTCAAACAAATCAGAATTACTTCAAATCACCAATGCTGGAATACATATTTCCTTGCCTCTTTTATATCTTCTATCTTGTCCTTTGCCATGTTACAGAAATCTTTCCTTCCTGCAGGAGCTGCTATTGTCTGTGGATTTTGGAGATTTACTAGTTCCCTTGAATCATGCGTTGATAGTATTCTTGGAGTAGATGGAAGTCGGCTGCAGAAAGAGTTAGCGAACATGTAGGTTTCTCTGTTTGTTTGCTAATTGGTGGTGAAGTTTTCTACCCTTTGTACCTTTCATGAAGGAACTTCTACTTTTGCTGTTCATGAATCTTGTTTTCTAATGTTACTTATCTGTGCTTTATTTTAGTAATCTCTCCTTTTTTGTATCTGTGCTTGATAATTTTAAGGTATTGTTTTCTTGAGAGGAACCAAAAAATTTGTTGTGGAAGATCACTTCAATTATGAGAATTGTAACCATAATTAATTTTATGATTAGCTGAGAGATATTTTCTTTCTTGTATTCAAAGTTGTTGAGTCCAAAAATCAAGCGTTTTGATCTGAGTAACGATTTAATGCTCTTTTTTATTGAATTTCATCCATGTCCATTAAAGTGCTATTGAAGTTAGGTGCAGTCTTGCAGGGGTGGTTGCCCCTTAAGCTTGTAGTGTGTTACCAGGACAACCTGTTATAGTATTGTCAGATAAGTGCCTGTAGTTTGAAACACACGTGTGTGTTCACCCTAGTTTTTTCTATTTCTTTTCTTGTTTATTCATTTCACAATACCCAAAAGTTTTTAACTGATCAAGACACTTTTTTTTTTTTTTTTTTCTTCACATGTCGTATTAGATAATTTTTTCCTCAAGGTTCATTTACAGATTGGAAAGAGTTTATGACATTTGAATTTGCAGTGATTCACATTGCTTACATGTTGTATTAGATAATTTTTTCCTCAAGGTTCATTTATAGACTGGAAAGAGTTTATGACATTTGAATTTGCGATGATTCATATTGCATTTCACATTTACTGTATTTAATAATGTTGCGAGATCTGTATTTTCGGTAATCTCCAAATATTTCCATTTCTGTTTACTTTTGGCATGACTTTCTGTCATATTCATGAGTGAATTTCCATCAACAGAATATTCAACAAATACCGAGATGATCCTTGGAGAATGCAGCTTATCTCTAAACATTTTTATTCAGAGAAAGTTTATGATGATTCAACCTCAGATCAGCCAAAATTAAGATGGCGCTACAAGAACTATTTTAATGATAATGTTGCTTATGGTCAAAGAACACAGGAGAGTGACTCTTATGGTGACTCCCATACTGACTGTCACAACAATTCCCACAATGAGGCCCACAGTGACTTCCAGAATGACTCTGGCAGCAAAAAGAATGATTTGGAGTCTAACAAAGTTCTTGTAAGTATGCTAGCTGCCCAAGACCAATTGTTGTGGGCATGATTTATTTATTTTCTTTCAGAAGAGCAATATATCTGAAACTTTTTCTTTTTTAAGATTTGCAGCGTTTCCCTTAAAATTTTCTGATTTTGATTTGGGTCACTAATTTTCCAATATTGAACTTTGGTAACTTGATATTTACATGCTCGGTTTGTGTGGCGGTACTTTTTCTTGGAATAATATTGTTCAATATAACCATTGGAACAAGTTATATCTTTTGACTGTGACCAGGGATTTCAAGCACTTGGATTGGAATTGTCATATTTCTCTATATTCAGTTTTGCTTATGACAAAGACGAGCACATTACTCTGCAAAGTGGAATAAATTCGATTGAAATAATGAAAAATAAAAAGAATAATCATACAAGGAAAATTGAACTTGTTATACAAGCATACCATGGAAATGAATCTGGTCACATAGTAGTTGATAGAAATGTTCTGTTTTCTGTGGCACTTCTTAATAAATATCTATTAACTAACCGATTTTATTTTTTTCAGGTGAAACCTGATGTTGATGCGGTTATGGATCCTCTAGATTGTGTTTTTGGCAATGCGGCAACAATGGAGGAGATTCATCACCCTAATAAATCAAGCACGCCTACCAGGGTACTCTCACGTAACCATAAAAGATCTCACCGGCGTCGTCGAATGCGCCATCATGAAGGTTCCCTGGAACCTCATTATGCGTAAACAGACCAAATTGATTGTCATGAACATCGAGGAGGGGAAACCAGAGAGAAAAAGTTGAAACATCAACATCGACATCATTGAGTTTGTGAAGGTTACGATTGCAAATCTGAATGTTGAACCTTTGTCAGGTACATTATTGTCAATAAATTCCTTCCTGTTGGGGTGAGATTGTCTATTGAAT